GCTACTCGCTGTATATGAGCTGATATACGGCGAGTAATTCAACCAATCAGATTGCAGAACAGCTCATATACGGTGAATGACTATATTATAAATATATATATATATATATATATATATATATATATATATATATATATATATATATATATATATATATATATATATATATATATATATATATATATATATATATATATATATATATATATATATATATATATATGGTATTTTTACTTGTTTATTTGTGTGTGTGTATTTCTTCCTTTTAAGCGCCCATCCAGGGTCACAAGGCCTGGACATACTTCGATCACTATGATCAGTATGAGCTCGCGAGCGGAAGGAATACTTATCGAACAGGGTACCGGCAAAGTTAAACCGACTGTATACCTTAGTGAAACAAACACGTGAAAAATATCTAACTTTATATATGCTCGTTTAGGCTTGAGCACTCTCTGGCACTAACTTCTATGATTGATATACTTTTAAGCACTATATATATATATATATATATATATATATATATATATATATATATATATATATATATATATATATATATATATATATATATATATATATATATATATATATATATATATATATATATATATATATATATATATATATATATATATATATATATATATATATATATATATATATATATATATATATATATATATATATATATATATATATATACATACCAAATATGTATTTAGAATCATATATGAGTAGAGTGCTCGATATACCGAAGTATAGAGCTAATATAGATAAAGATGAAATAAACTTGGTTTACTTCATAAGATTTATTCACTACAAACTTGTTTCGTATGACAAGCAATGTTTGCCACACTCATCAGGTGAATTTAAATGTCGCGCTATGTTGTTGCCAAGGTTATATATACTATATACATGTTTGACGTAAACGGAATGTTCAAGTATTAAATTACGTATAGATTACATATATATACAGATTATATTAAGTAATGTATATTGCTTAAGAGAAATTTGTTTCTATGTCTGCATTTCGACAAAAGTTCACTTCTTGAATTTAAAGAACAAAGTTCAGGGTGGTATAGATTATGATGAATTTCTCATGTGTACAAAGACTGCAGCGTTTCGTTGTGTTGTTGTAGCTCTTGCATTGCTTAATAATACGCCAGTTTATGGAGTACTTGACCTTCGACTCTTTAAGTTGCCAGATGTATTTGCTCAGCTCTTGGCAACAACATAGCGCGACATTTAAATTCACCTGATGAGTGTGGCAAACATTGCTTGTCATACGAAACAAGTTTGTAGTGAATAAATCTTATGAAGTAAACCAAGTTTATTTCATCTTTATCTATATATATATATATATATATATATATATATATATTTATCTATATATATATATATATATATATATATATATATATATATATATATATATATATATATATATATATATATATATATATCGTTTTACCTCAAAAAACCACAACAGTCTGTTTCATCCGTATAGGAATCATCAGGTGGTGAATAATTTCGAAATTGTAGGTTGCTTTTATGCTATCGAAAGAATGTGCGGAATGCGTGTAGGCGAAACAATGCTTAGGTGAAACAATGCATGCTTGGGTCATTAGGTTTTGTTAACGACCTTGTTTACTCGAAACCGGTTTTTGTGACGACATTTGCCGAAAATTTCGCTTCTTTTATTGAGTAAATTTTCTTTGTTTATGTCTTTCAAAATGCAAAATTTTTCTTCCAAACATAAATTGCAGCGTTTTGATCCCCCTGTGTACGAAATAGCGTGTTTTAAAATTGACCATTTGATGGTATAATCCTGATTGTTTTCTTTTAATTTCCAAATATGTTTCGAAAGTTCCGTTTTGTTTGAGTCTTTTTTATGACGAAAAGATGAAGTGTGGTTAGCGTAACGTTCCTTAAATGTAGTCGCTGTCATACCAATGTAGTGTTTAGTGTCGTTCGTGTTGTTCGTTGTGACTGTTGCTTTGTAAATAATGTTGTTGGTCATGCATTGTTTCGGTAGTGGGCAAGTGTTTTTGTTGTCGCAGTTACAGTTGTCAGTTTCCGTATTCTGTGATTGACTGTTCCTAATTATATGTGCGTTGTGTTTGGTGATTATAGACTTAACGTTGTTCATGCAACTGTAGCTTACTTTTAAAGTGTTTCTGTTAAAAATCTTGTGTAGTTTGTGCTGTAGCGGGAAGTGTTTGTCAATTAAACTTAAGAATTCCCGTCCTATGTTCGTGTTAACACTCTTACTAAATGGTGGGTTGAACCAAATTATGCTGCGTTGCCTATTCCTACGTGTCCGTTGCGGTGCATTCTCAGTGTACGTAAATTCATGATCAAAGTTACTATGTGTAAGAGCGTTCTGGTAAATAGGTGTAGATTCCTTAAATGTTTGTTCGTCTGATGAGAGAAGTGCAATGCGTTTGTTGATAGCTGTAGGTAATTGTCTTGTAATGCTTGGTGGATGGTTTGAGTGTCTGTGGATGTACAATGGATCGTCATTGGGTTTCCTGTATGGTTTGTGTTTTGCGTTGATCAGGTCGAAAGTAACATCTAAAAAATTTACAACGTTCATATTTACTTCGGCGGTGATTTTAAGGTCAAATTGCTCGAAAATTTTGTGTAGCTCTTTTCTAGTTTTGTCTAGTAAACGGGCGGATTTGCTTTTTCTAATAGCCAAACCATCATCTCTATAAAGTCCGATGTTTTCCTTGCCAAACCTCTTACCTAAGTGATTTAAAATGAAAAGGCCTACCAGCTCACAAATTTCAGCGCCGTCGAAACTACCCATAGTGACGTCAAATAAACTGTTGCTTTCGTCTTTTTTTGTCCATAATTTGCCGTTGCCGAAAAGTAGAGATTTTCTTGCATGTTTTATTATTGAAATATTGTTTTCGGTAATAGTGGTCAAATCCGAAGCCCAGGCCAATGCTTCATTTAAAAGTTTTTCGACCTGATCAACGCAAAACACAAACCATACAGGAAACCCAATGACGATCCATTGTACATCCACAGACACTCAAACCATCCACCAAGCATTACAAGACAATTACCTACAGCTATCAACAAACGCATTGCACTTCTCTCATCAGACGAACAAACATTTAAGGAATCTACACCTATTTACCAGAGCGCTCTTACACATAGTAACTTTGATCATGAATTTACGTACACTGAGAATGCACCGCAACGGACACGTAGGAATAGGCAACGCAGCATAATTTGGTTCAACCCACCATTTAGTAAGAGTGTTAACACGAACATAGGACGGGAATTCTTAAGTTTAATTGACAAACACTTCCTGCTACAGCACAAACTACACAAGATTTTTAACAGAAACACTTTAAAAGTAAGCTACAGTTGCATGAACAACGTTAAGTCTATAATCACCAAACACAACGCACATATAATTAGGAACAGTCAATCACAGAATACGGAAACTGACAACTGTAACTGCGACAACAAAAACACTTGCCCACTACCGAAACAATGCATGACCAACAACATTATTTACAAAGCAACAGTCACAACGAACAACACGAACGACACTAAACACTACATTGGTATGACAGCGACTACATTTAAGGAACGTTACGCTAACCACACTTCATCTTTTCGTCATAAAAAAGACTCAAACAAAACGGAACTTTCGAAACATATTTGGAAATTAAAAGAAAACAATCAGGATTATACCATCAAATGGTCAATTTTAAAACACGCTATTTCGTACACAGGGGGATCAAAACGCTGCAATTTATGTTTGGAAGAAAAATTTTGCATTTTGAAAGACATAAACAAAGAAAATTTACTCAATAAAAGAAGCGAAATTTTCGGCAAATGTCGTAACAAAAACCGGTTTCGAGTAAACAAGGTCGTTAACAAAACCTAATGACCCAAGCATGCATTGTTTCACCTAAGCATTGTTTCGCCTACACGCATTCCGCACATTCTTTCGATAGCATAAAAGCAACCTACAATTTCGAAATTATTCACCACCTGATGATTCCTATACGGATGAAACAGACTGTTGTGGTTTTTTGAGGTAAAACGAAAAACTATATTACGCTCTATCTATATGGTATTGAGCACTGTTTGTGTTTCGTAAACCAAAATCTTAAGCTATATATATATATATATATATATATATATATGTATTTTACATGATAAATTGTATATAAATTGTATTTACATTTCTTATTACATCATAGGTGATATATACACGACAATATATAAGTTGTTTCCCATTGTACTTCGTGCTTTTAGGTATTTGCATGCTGTGGGCAGGCGGCGTCCTTTTCGATTCGAAGTGCCGTACAGACGAGTCGACAATTGTAAATCGTTTGCCTTAGTTGTGACTGAGATTGGACGTGTTTTTATTAGCTCCGCTATTAATCGTTATATTTACTCGAATTCTCACAAAATATGGCTGTAGATCTTCGATCTAACTTAAAGGCCAGTGGAGAAAGGTTCTACTGGGATAGTACATTAGTTAAATTGAAGGAATTTGTCTCAAAGGAGTTAAAACTCTCAGGAAGATGGACGTCGCCGGGCGGAGAAGTAAAGTTATTCACAGCCGATACTGTAAGCTTGAAATGGCACGGGAAAACCATTAAATCTATCACATTGGCTGGAAATTCGACTGAGACAGACAAATTGTCTAAGATTCTGACATCTATATGTGAAAGTTCAGTCGAAAATCAAGGCAGCAATTCAGAGAGATGTCAAGACTACTTCAATAATGACGACAACACCGAAACAAGCATGGATGCCACCTCAGGTAAAAGGCTGAATACAACTGATTTATATATATGCAATGACCAAGAGTCGTCGGAGAACTCTTTTAGTAAAAGTGGCAATACTATAGCTGACGAAACCAACTCGGGGGATGGGATGCTTGAGAATATTGAGAAAAACAAGTTTGTTATGCATGACTGATAGTTCATGTCAGACAAATAATCAGACAGCGAACGAACGCTGGGGCCTTAATCATTCATGTCCATTGGATCAAGTTACTAGTGATATTGAGAGTCTAAAATCTAAAATGTCTACCCTTCAGTCGTCAGTTTTGTCTTTTGAAAATGTACTCAAAGATCATGACACGATATTAACTTTATATAACAGAGCGGCGGATTTAAACGAAAAATATTTAGTTGAAATAAATGAGAAAACAGGATACATAAATTCTCTTGAACAAAAGCTAATTAAAATCGAGGAAGAAAGAGACTCTCTGCAGCTCGCGACAAGGCTTATTGCACAAGACAAACTTTGTCAACATAGGGGTAATAGTGTCGGTTGCCAGTGCCGCAAAAGCAACCCCGTACCATGGCAAAAAATTCCTAATAGTAATAAAAACTTTCATAAAACTAACAGTGGAAGTCAACCACAAATAACGTACAATAGATATGAATGTCTAATTGATGAGGACGAAATTGCTGAAGTTGTTCAGCCGGAACAATCGGCACAATGCCCACCGGAGCACACAAGCCATCCTACTGGTAATGAATGTCTAATTGTTGAGGGAGAAACTGATGAAATTGTTCAGCCGGAACAATCATCACAATGCCCACCTGAGCAAACGAACCATCCCACTGGTAATGTTTATCAAAATCCTAATCGTCCTGGAGACCAAAGTGCAAGACCGTGTGTTGTCTTAATCGGCGATTATATCATTAAAAACATCATTCCACAGAAGCTGTCGCAGAAAAGAATGCATAAATTTACATACCCAGGTAAATCAGCGGACGAAATAGAGTTTGAAATACGCAATATAGATCAAAACCTAGCGCCCTCTCATGTTATATTACACTGTGGAACAAACAATCTTCCAACAGACGACCCAAATGTTTGCATCAAAAAACTTGAAGATCTGTGCTCGAGAGTGCAAGGCAAATTTCCCAATGCACAAATCGGAGTGTCAACTATCACATGTAGAAAAGACCTTCAATTAGCAAATAAAATTGAAGAGGTCAATAACAAGATCAAAGACATGTGTTCTCGTAACGGCTATAATATTATACTTCATAATAATATAAATGAGACATGCCTGAACAATAGTAAGCTGCATCTAAACGCAAAGGGAACCGCTTTACTTGCAGTAGGATTTATTAAGTTCCTACGTGGACGGCAGTTTTCTCCACCACAACAACATCACAACTATTCTAAAAATTTTCACTTAGAAGAAACACTTCACCAAATAGAGAAAACTCTGAAATATCTAACGACACGAACTCGATAGACTCAAGTCACTCAACAATGAATAGTAACTCAAATTTAAGTAGTAATAATAATAATACGATAAGTTTCGATGGCGAGTCAATTTCAACAAATTCAACTTTATTTCTGCCTGATTTTAACATATCGAATTTAAAGGGCCTGAAGATTGCAAATTTAAACATTAATAGTCTTTTAAAACATATCGATGAGATTCGTATCTTGCTGTCTGATAACCCTTTTGACATTTTGGCCATTAATGAGACTAAAATCGAGTCCTCAATTTTGGATGCAGAAATTCATATTGATAATTATACAATTGTTCGTTTTGGTCGTAACAGATTTGGCGGTGGTGTGGCTCTATATATAAAAAATAATATACCATACACTGAGAGAAAAGATTTAGTCCCTGATAATTTAGAAATGACATGTGTGGAGATTACTAGGCAACATAGTAAGTCTCTTCTAATTGCTACCTGGTATCGACCACCTAATTCAGAGCTCGACATATTTTCCAACTTTGAATTGTTTCTTTTTAAGTGCGATATGGAAAATAAGGAATTAATCTTAGTTGGGGATCTAAACTGCGACGTTAACAAACTAGTTCCTGATTCACAAACTCACAAACTGCAAACTTTATGCTCTTTGTATCAATTAACTCAAGTCATTAATGAACCTACGAGAATTACGGAGACAACATCCACA